TGCTGAAAGTAGACTATAGACCAAACATGATTGTCACCCATTGCAAACCACAACACCCAATAAGAGAGAGAGAACAAAAGGGAATGCCCTGCCACAGAGGCAGGGTGGGATGGGGGAGATAGGGGGTGGGAGGGATACTGGGATCCTTGGTGGTGGGAAATGGGCACTGGTGGAGGGATGGGTATTTGATCATTGTATAATTGAAATCCAAGCACAAAAATGTGTAAGTCTGCAACTGTACCTCATGATGTCTCACTATTAAAAATTTAAAAAAAAACAGGATAACTGATAGAATAATTAATTAAAATTCATGAATAACTTCACAAGAAATTAATTTAACTACATTCCTATTGATTACAGTTTAGTCATAAAATAAATTTTATTACTGGAGACTAAATAACATGAATACTATATTTATATTTTTATAGAGGAAAAAATGATTTTAAAAATAAATAAATAAGATCATCTAATTATTCATAGCAGAGAAGGTTTTCTCAGCCCATTTTGTTCTATTTTGTTTTTTTATTATCTTACATGAACTAGAGAAAATTTTATTATATCTGAAAACTTCCTACATAAAACCACATTTCTGTCATTGTAATTTATAGTCCCACTGTAAACCACTGTTGATAGATCATGTTTTTTGTTGTTGTTATTTGTGGACCACACTTGGCTATGCTCAGGGCTTACTCCTAGTGGGGAGGCTAGGGTTCACTCCTGATGGTGCTCAGAGAACCACATGGGGTGCCACAGGTGGAATTGATCGATCACAGGCAAGGCAAATGCCAAACCCACTGTACTATCATTCCAGCCCCAAATGTGACATCTTAAATACAATTATAAGTATTTTGTTGATTAAAAATGAGAAATAATTTTACTATAGTAAACATATAAAGTCAAATATAACATTACCTGGGTCTGAGCAATAGTGTAGCAGGTAAGGCACTTGCCTTTCATGTAGCTGACACTGGTTTGATCCCTAGTACCACATACAGTGCCTGAGTACTACCAGGAGTAATCCCTGAGTGCAGAACTAGGGGTAAGCCCTGAGCATCGCTACAATCTATATCAGCATTTACTTATATATGAAATGAGGTCCATCACCAAATACACATCTGCTTGTTGGCTGCTGTTGTCTGCAGCCAAATCTTACCTAATTTACCATAGAGATACAAAATAGTAATACCACATCTTGAAGGAGTTCATCTTTTGGTATATGAAATCTTCTTACCCCTGATATCTCCTCAATCCTTTTACAAAGGGAAAAATATTGACAGCATTAAAAATGTTGCCCTAATTTGCAACTTGATGTCAAACTGGGATCTTTCTAGATAATGTCTTCTAAAATGAGGAAAACAAATCCACTAAATGTTCATTGGAATGAGGTCATGGGTTTAATACAATATTATTATTTGGCTTTTTTCAGCTCTCTTTCTCTCTTCCTCTTCTTCTCTCTCTCTTCATATATATGTATAATATTATATATATATATATTCTTTGAAAAGTTCTCTCAGGAAATAAGATGAATTTTAAAAGGCTGTTTTCTCCCAAATTCTTTTAATATATGATAGCAAAAACCAATATCATTTTGGCAGACTCCCACATAAAGCAGCCCCAAATGGCAAAGAAGCACTAACCACTGCAGTGATTTGCTACATCACAGGCAGTAACCATTGGCACATGTTGCAATCTTAAAACACTTGGCTTTTCACTGTGACCATATTCCCTCACGTGTTTCAGTATAACCCAGCAAAGGTGACCAGTGATCGAGAGAATGTGAGAGGTAGATATCACACTTGGCTGATCTCTTCATAAAGAAGTAAGCGTGAGATTTTCAGAAATACTTGGATAAGCTCGACTACACTATAAGTAAGTAAGTAAGAACAATGCAGCAGAATCAGAGAGACTTTACATTATCATCATTGTCTAGCTATTAAATTATGATAATAAAATGAACTCTTTGTGCTCAGTCTCATCATTACATTTCTCATAATTATATTTCATAAATTGGTAGTCTGTATTCTCCATAGCTTACATGTTTCTATCCATTTGAGATCTTCAGAATCCAGGTAGATTAACCTGTTGGGGCCAGAGCAATAGTACAGTGGGGAGGGTATTTGCCTTGCTTGCACCTGGTTTGATCCCTGGCACCCAATATATGGACTACCAAGCATTCAAGGAGTAATCCTGAGCCAGGAGTAACCCCTGAGCACCACAAGGTAACAAGCAAACAAAAAGAATAACCTTTTAAAGGATATTGAGAGAATTCTGCAAAGTCAAGGATCATTCTTTTGAAAATGGCAAGTATGAGGTTTTTCTTAAAACAAGTACTTTTCAATAAAGCAAACATTTTAAAAAGGCAATTAAAAGAACTGAATACATGTGTATAATCTGTTCTGGAACATATACTCAGCATGGATCTTTCTGCTTACACAATACCTACAATTTATCACTCATAAAAGGAAGAAAATAGTTCTTCAAAGATTTCATTCTTTGAGGAACAATGACTTACTCTTATGAACATACTAAGTGTGTTCATAAAGACTTACATTTATATACATATTAAGTATCTGAACCTACCAGTATCATATTGAAGAAGCCAGAATGACACTTTGTGGCACTGTGCCAATTTTATCCATTTTAACAATTTTCTTAATTTCAATATATATTTTGGCCTTCACTCCACATGCCAAGAAAACTTTTTTTCTTTGTGCATTTATTTCTATTTCTATACTACCTTCTTCTCAGAACACTTTGAAATGTCCTGTAGCTCTAATTCAGATGACGAGAAAATTAGTCACTACTATTGCTGTTCTTACAACTGCAAGTACAGAATGGGAAAATTTCATGAGAATATTCAGACTACTGCTATTCAGCTTCCTAGAGAAGTTCCCTGATTAAAGAACTTCAGCAGATAGACAAAATCATATTCTAGTCAGACTAAGAGATAGAAGGGGGAAAAAAGACCTGGAAGATGAAAATGATAGAATAAGAGGACATTGAGGATTTTCATTCATATAAACTTAGTACATTTCTTGGTAAAAAAATAGCAGACTAGGTTCTTTGAATATTGTTATAAAATAGAAAATTAAACAATATGTTAAGTATATATACATATATATATACATACAGAGTCTCCTACCCTGTGCCTGACTGTCTCCACCAGGGCCCAACAGCTGAAGACCACCGGGACCCAGCCAAGGCCATGCTGGGACCACTCTCCACACACTTGGATGAGCCTCATGCATAAAAGAACTGGCAGAGGAACCCAGGTGTGTGGGACCCGGGGCTGAGATCTCCAAGCCTGCACGGTTTGGGACTGGACCTGCCAGTAACTAGACAGTTACACCCACCAACTGCCGTGTAACTCCAACAACGGCCAGGATCCAGAGATTATCACACTCAGCTCCCGGAAGCACGCGGCCGCATTCGCGGCTGCGCAACATCTTATCATCTCATTCCTACTTTGGACAAACTGTCAGGCTACCAAATGTAACCTGCCCACACGGCAGAGTCTGGCAAACTCCCCGTGGTATACCCAATATGCCAAATACCAGTAACAATGATGGGTCTCATTCTCCTAACCCTGAAAAAGCCTTGAATATGGCACTTTAAAAAAAAAAATCTCAGGGCTAGGACGAAGAAGACGTTACTGGCACCTGCTCGGGGCAATCAATGAACAACAGGGTGGTCGTGATCGTGAATCGTGATATATACATTTTAAAATATAGAAAAATCCAAATACCTATGAAACATAAGTGACACTGAAAATTCCATCCCATACATATATATATATGATCAAAAAAGAAGAGCAGAAATTTTAGAAAATACTATGTACAATTACCGAAATCACAAGCCGAATATCTATCCCCCCAAAACACAAAAATTAATTTGAAAGAATATGCTCCCCTATGTTCACTGAAGCACTTAATACAATAGACAAGATATGGAAACAACCCAAATTCTAAATATGGGTGAATGGATCAAGTTGTTGTATATATTCACAATGAAAAATATGCAGCTCTAAGAAAGAATAAAGTCATGCAATTTTCTATGAGGAATACAATCCTGAATGAAGTCAGTCAGAAGTAAAGAGACAGATGCAGAATCATCTCTCTCATATATGGGACTTAAAGATATACACCAAGGTAGCAACAAAGGGTCAAGGGCAACACAATGGGGAAATCCATACAACTGAGTTTGTGGGGGTGGGTTAAAAGGGAATAGCATTGAAGTCCCTGGGGAAGGGAGTGAGTACACTGCTGATGGGTGTGGTATTCAAATTATAGAAAACCATCATTAACATAATATATGTTATGGGACCTCAATTAATAAATAAACAAGGGGGGGAAATCATAGGTTAAAAGCATCATATAACCATCCTGTGTGAGATCATTTGATCAAACTCTCAAGTTTAGCTAACCCTTTATGTGTAAAGGAAGGGCTACTTCAATTTATGTCTATACATACATGCATATACATTTGTATTTTCATTTTTCTTATTACCTACCCTTCCACCAATACCTCATTTAGATTTCTGCGCTTTGGAAGTGTGAGGACATAAATACTTCCCTGGCTTTTAGATCTGCTTATTCTTTTTCTTCTTGAGGAATTGGGACAGTGAAAGAGGAAAGGTACACAATGAAAAGGATCATTCTTCAGAGCAACACATATTCTATCAACTACTTACCACCTTTTCCTAATAGCATCATCTTGTCATCAACCTCTCTACTCTTGCCTTGCTCTCAGGATAGTGGTAAGTGCGACTCTCGAGATCCCCAGCACAAATAGCTCTTGGGGCACATCTCATCCACCGGGGAGTCTAGATGAGAGTTTCTGGGAGAGCACGTATTTGTTCAACGTGCATGGTATGTGTGCGAGTGCACGTGTGTGTGTGTGTGTGTGTGTGTGTGTGTGTGTGTGAGAGAGAGAGAGAGAGAGAGAGAGAGAGAGAGAGAGAAAGAAGGTGGGTAGAGAGGGACAGAGAGGTTGACTCTTACCTTCCGATGAGTGAGAACTCTCCCACCACCCCGAGGCGCCTCATGGCACTGAGGAGGCCACGGACAGTCATGCCCTCACAGAAGCACACCACCACCCTAGCCTTGGGCAGCCGCTCTCGGAGCTTGCGCAAGAGTCTGTCAAAGCTCTTCTCCCCGGCATTGCTGTAGATTTTGTCTGAATGGGCGATGCAGAGACCTTCCTGGGCAGCCAGCTCTTTGAAAGCATCCATTCCACTCTCTCCATAATTCCCTGGACAAGAAACAAACAGTAGATGTTCAGGACCACATAGGGGCAGTCACGCATCCCATGCTGGAATACGGACTGCCACAGAGGGTGGCAAAGGACGATCTTGTCAGATCATTTGTAATAACTGGAACTGAAAGAAGATCTGAATGGATTCAAGAGAATAATCAAATGTAATCAAACGTTCAACTCTGTGAAAACAGTCAGAAAGTTACTGAGCTATAATGTCCACAGGGAAACGAGTTTTGAGAAATGAGATGCCCTATTTTACTAGCATGATTAATAGTCACTGTCCCAAATTTTAATAGTGTGGGAGAGATGGCACACTGGTGTTCAACGAGCACAGAGAAGAGGCCTGTGTATTGGTGAACTAGCTTTAGCTGGCAGTCAGACAGAATCAGAGGCAAACACCGAGGGACCCCATAGCCTGGCAACATTCCCATGAAGAGGAAGCAAAGCTTATGGAACCTCTTCACCAAGTCAGCCAGAAGCAGACAAAAATCAACTACAGTGTTTAGTAGAAAAATAGCATCCTTGGACAAAGTGGATTATGCGAGCACTGACCCATATATTTTGAATTTATTTTAGTATCATTAATAGAATAAAATATAATTAAAGAATTCATATGAGTCCACATACTTCCTAGTGACAGTTTTGATCTGTTATCTTGTTTCCCGTATCTCTCAAGAGATTACCCAACATTTCAGTCTGTTTACTTTGACTTTTCTCTTCTTTTTTGGTGTGAGGACCACAAGCAGTGCTCTCTGAATCAAGAGCATTCAGCTGTGCTTAGGTGGCCATTTGGTGCCAGATATGAACCTGGCCCTTATCCCTGCAAGGTATATGCTCTGTCCCTTGATCTATATCCACAGTCCTGATTTATTCCCTTCTAATTCTTATTCTATAAGCTAATATATTCTACATCTGTATCCCAAGATTTCTTCAACAGCGTTAAAAACTTCACATCTATCCACCTCACATTTTGCCATTTTCCTTCTCATTTTTCTATGAACCCAGCTTAGATCCCAGAACTCATCCTCATAATTATCCCCTTACAAATTCATTAGATGTCTTGTGGGGACTTTTTGTGTTTTCTTTCTTTTATTTTTTGTTTGTTCGTTCGTTTTTTGCTTTTAACGGTGCCAAGGGTTGAACCAGATCTCATCTATGCAAGCTATGCATTTATCACTGACTGAGCCAAATCCCTAGTCCTGATTCATGTTTTTGTGCTGTTGATATTACTGATTTTTACAAAAGATAATGCTAGTTAAACCAGATCATTCACTACTCTGAAGCTATATCTGAGCACCTAAACATGGATGAAAAATAAAAATCACAACCTCACTGGCTTGTTCTGTTTAAAGTTATTGAGCATACTTGGGCTAGAGTGATAGCACAGAGGGTAAGGTGTTTGCCTTGTACACAGCCGACCCAAGGTTGATTCCCAGCATCCCATATGCTCCCCCACGCATGACCAGGAGTAATTCCTGAGTGCATGAGCCAGGAGTAACCCCTGTGCATCGTCAGGTGTGACTCAAAAAGCAAAAAATAAAAAATAAAAAGTTATTGAACATTCTTGCTCAATAAAGGAGCATCCAGTGTTGTGAGTAAATTATACTACATCTCCCGTGTAGCTGGAGCGATAGCACAGTGGGTAGGGCGTCTGCCTTGTACGCAGCCAACATGGCCGACCCGAGTTCGATTCCTCCGCCCCTCTCGGAGAGCCTGGCAAGCTACCGAGAGTATTCGATATGCCAGACACAGTAACAACAAAGTCTCCAATGGAGACGTTACTGGGCCCGCTCGAGCAAATCGATGATCAACGGGAGGGCCTTTACTTTACTTACTTTACTCCCGTGTAAATAATCTCCCTGTGTTAACATGATTACTTATACTCATTCTTTTTTTTTTTATTATTAGTGAAACACCATGAGGTACAGTTGTAGATTTACAATTTTTTGTGCTTGGGTTTCGATTATACAATGATCAAATACCCATCCCTCCACCAGTGCCCATTTTCCACCACCATGGTTAATATTCCCCCGACCCCCATCCCCCCCATCCCACCCTGCCTCTGTGGCAGGGCAATCCCTTGTGTTCTCTCTCTCCGTTTGGGTGTTGTGGTCTGCAAAAGAGGCTTTGAGTGGCAAACATGTTCAGTCCATAGTCTACTTTCAACATGCATCTCCCCTCCTGGGAGGATCCTCCAAACACCCTTTATTTGGTGCTCCCTTCTCTATCTGAGCTGCCCTTTCCCCTAGAATGCCCGGCTGGCCTCTAAACTATGGAGTACTCCTCCTGGTGCTGACTTATACTCATTCTTATCTCTTCATATCTCCAAAATACTCATCCCACCATTGATTCCTATCTCTAGCTAAGATTTTTCACTTCATATATTGATCAGAAGACAGAAACTATATTTTTTTAAAAAAGCTAATTCAATCACATACATTGTAATATCTGATATCATTTTCATTATCACTAATATTTTCTAGAACCCCTTGTTTCAAGTTTCTGCCTTAAAATGAAGTCAATTCCTTCTAATTAACATTAAATTCTTCCACTTTAATACGTTAATTCAATGATTTTCCTCCAAAAATATCCATTTCTCTTATAAAATCAACTTTTCTCTTTCTATGATGTTTGTTTTAAAAAAAGAGAAAAAAAAATCCTGGGACTCTGTTTCCCATTTTAATTCCTCTCTTATTTACAATTACAGCAATAATAGCTTCTAAGGTCAGTGTGTTTGCCTCACCATTTTTCATTCTTTCCCTTACCATTCTTTTCCAACACTTCACAGTCTTCTCTTATCAAACTATTCTCTTGTCAAGGTCACCACTCATTTCTCTGTTGCTATATCCCATGATCTGTCTTTGTCTTCATCAATCACTCAACTGCATTCAACACTAGCCACACTCTCCTAGAAACATTTTATTCTCTTGGTGTCTGTGACACAACCCTCTCTGGGCTTCCTCATCACTCACAGATTATTTTTTACTGCTAGATTGTCCTTTCCTGTTCACCCTAAATGTCTTGCCAAACTCATTTGTGGGATATGAAGGAAAAAAAAAACCTAGTATAAGACTATTACCAAGGACGGTAGAAACTAGGGTCAGGAGGACTGGCCCACTAGGAGCTTGCCACAAATATGTTGGGGAGGGGCAGGGAAGGGGGCAGGGGCGGGGCAGTTTGGCAGTTAGGATAGAGAAGGAACTAGTAGGACAATGATAGTTGGAAATGATCCCTCTGAAAGAGAACTGAGTGCTGAAAGCAGGTAAAAAGATAATACATTATAATCTTTCAGTACCTGTACTGCTAACCATCATGCCCAAAAGAGGAGAGAGAGAGAGAGAGAGAGAGAGAGAGAGAGAGAGAGAGAGAGAGAGAAGAAAAGTGCCTATCATAGAGAAAGATTAGCAGAGAGGGTGGTGGGAGGAAAACTGGGGACATTAGAGGTGAGAAATCTACGCTTTAGAAACCCAATCATGAACAACTTTGTATGGATCTCTGGTGATTTGATTTTTTTTTAAAAAAGAGGGGGAAAATGTCATGCCAATAAGAAAACATGGGTGTATATTTCTCCTACCTTTATAGTCTCCAAACGTTTCTAAACTCATTAGACATGTAATTCCTACTAACCATTATTTGCACTTGCTAGAAGATCTGAACAGTAGCATTATATTTTGCAAAACATTGGGGTGCTGTAAATGATTTGTGTCCACATTTTGCATTATGTACCCTCTAAACATGTGAGTGTGTGTTTTATGATTAGCAAAATAATTAAGGGATGTGATCTATGCTGAATACCTATAAACTCTTGTTTGGCACATACAACTTCTATTCTAATAAATTTTAAGAGAAAAAAAATGTCATGCCAGAATTTGGTCCTCAGAAACTCTCTATTCTTTATATTCTGACTTCTAAGTTTCCTATCCAGTCACATTCAAATACCATTTGAATATCATGTTGAATTTCAGATAGAGTTTTGGAAACTGTTCTGCCCTTAGAACAAAAGATCAGTATAATCTCCCACCTGACACTTCCATTTCCAGACATTTCAGCTCTGACATCTCTAAAGTAGAGTTTTTGTTACTGGAGAGATACTACAGTAGAAAGCCCCCACCACTACTCAATATTGGAATCACAAATCATACAAATCATCCTGTTATTCGTCGATTGACTCGAGCAGGCCCCAGTAACGTCTCCTTCATCCTAGCCCTGAGATTATATTCAAGGCTCTTTAGGAGAATGAGACCCATCATTATTACTGGTATTTGGCATATTGGGTACGCCACGGGGAGTTTGCCAGACTCTGCCTTGTGGGCAGGCTACATTCAGTAGCCTGCCAGTTTGTCCAACGTAGGAATGAGATAATGAGATGTCATAATAAGATGTCCGGTTCCGGGAGCTGGTTTTTATAGTCTCTGAGTCTTGGCTGCTGATGGGATTACACGGCGCCAGGGGGCCAGTTGGTGGGTGTGACCCCTGCCTACTGGAATTTGGAGGACCTGGGTGGAGGATGCTCGGCCCCGATCCGAGTAGGCTTGAAGATCTCGGCCCCGGAACCCGCATGGCTTTGTCCCTCTGCCAGTACCTTCATGTGTGCGGGGAGAGTGGTCTCAGCATGGTGGTGGCTGGTCCTGGAGGTCTTCGGCTGCCGGAGCCCTGGTCGAGGCGGGGAGGAAAGCTCAACCTGCTCCCCTCCAAGGGGCCCCGGCGAGGACAGCCAGGCGCGGGGGCAGGAGATTATTATATTGGAAATATAATATTGTATTCTGAAACAGAATAATACCACAACTCTTTCCCTCATAATACCACATTGTAAATGGGCTGAACCTTCCTACTTGTCCAGTCCCACACCTGCCCATTTCTACTCCATCTTCTCTAGTTTTCTGGCCTTCTTTTTCTTGCTAGATTACCCTAACTTCACTCATATCTCTATGTTAGCTTTTTGTTGTTGTTATCTAAAAACATTCTCTTCTACAGACATTTTGTTGATTATTTTT